CGAACCTAGGAAGCCACTGATGCAAAGAGCGGAGGACAGCAAAAGGGTTATTTCAAGCCCAGCCGAAGCCAGGATATCGTGGTATGCTGCATCGCATGAGCAGCACGCAGCAGCAGCAGCAGCAGGGAGAAGGAGGAGAGACCGCAGGAGGAGAAGAAGGAGACGCTCCCGACGAAACTGTGAGATCATATTTTGATCATGGTTCATCAAAATATACGCTCAGACAGGATATTTGTTACGACAGGAGGATTAGACTACATAAATATACAAAGATGAGAGCGCCAACGTTTTATTCATCATGGCTCACCAAAATAAACGTTCAGACAGCAGGATATTTGGTTTGACAGGAGGATACTTCGAGGTATATACGGAGAATGTCTGTATGTTGATTGTATGGAATTTACGTTGTCTGTCATTATGTGATGAGATGGTACTGCTATGTGCTGGGGTGCCGTTCCTGCACGTATGTACTGCTGCGCTGGGGGGCATGGAAGTATTGGAGGTGCTCTTGGAGAGGTCTAACCCATAGAATGGCGAATGAGAAGAATTCGGGGATAGGGGCGAGTGTGACAGGGGTGCATGCGGCGAGTGCGGGGATGGAATCTTCGCAGCTGGTGCTGCGAGCGGGAAAGATGAAGTACTGAAGTTGTTGATGGTTGAAGGCTGCTATAAAGACTAGATGGGAGTGAAAAAGCCGGGTATGGTCGTGCCCAACGTATAGTAGTCGTCGATGACGCCGGCGAGCTCTGGGCGACCCGGTTGTGGCCTCTCAGGGTTGGACGGATGTGGTATATAAGTAAACGTTCATCAACCAATCAATGTCTCATTGTGTAAAGATGTTTGTTGTGTGCTGATGCAGCACTCGTGAGATGGCCATCGCTTCTTTCGTGAGGTTGTTCGCCCGCTCTGCCGTGGCTAAAGCTGGACGGAATGATAACTTTGTCGGCTGGTGCAGATGTACAGTAGTCCCGAGGGATCTTGGTATCCGTGACACCGCCAACTTGTGAGTGGTGTAATGAAGTGCGATACTTGTCGTGGTTATCTTGATTATGTGCGTGAACGGTGAGTCTTTGATACTCGTTGCGGCTGAATACGTCGATGAGGAATTCGTTCACCAAAGGAGCAACTTGTTGAAATCGGGGTTCCCATACCAACGACTGTGTTACCCTGTGATTTTATTCTCAGCTGTGCTTTGCATGGCAACGTGCAGCCGGATGCCCTGCCTTGTGGGAAAAGCAATGAAAAATAGTCCATGCCATGTCGTAAGCGGAGATGACGTTTTTCTCGCCGGTAAGTGTCCTGGTCATTGCTGCTTAGCCACGTGGAATGACCCCTTTAGCGCGTGTCGATGGCCATTATTTCCGCAGAAGGAGCATCAGGTGACGCAAACGCCGAGGAGTTGGATATCGTTTTGGATCGAGGCCTAAGGCGACAGGCGTAGAAAAAGAAGAAACAGTTGCTTTTTCGAATTTTAGCGAGTGAATGTATTCTTACAGATTGATGTATTTGCAATGCAGACAGTACATTTCTGATGATTTGCGATCATTGTGTAACCAACCATGCTGGTAGCTTTCTTGCTGGGAGGGAAATGAAACAGATATTATTGAAACATATGTACAATTGTTTTGTATCAATAAATAGGAAGAAGAATAGAATGTACCTGTGTTGGCTTCACTTGGCACACACCGGTTGCTCATTGCAGCTGTAAGGCGGCCAAAATACGACGAAAACTGTTGCTTAGCCGTCCGTATCTTTGTCATCATGGCTTCATCGAGTTCACCGTAAGTTGGCTTGGCTGGGTGAGCGAATTATGCTGCGTGAAATGAAGCTTAGTGAATCGAGTGAAGTCAGAGAGCTCAATGAAATGAGTGCGCAAGTGAAAAAGTTTCGTCGAGTGAATTATGTGAGATGAGTGTGTGCAGGAGCGACTGAGTGTGCATTCTCTGTATTCCGGGATCGACAGCCCGATGAGCGTGTAATGAAATGACGTCAGTAATATGGAACGGAATGCCAAACACGAACAGGGGTGTTTAGCCTTTTGGACTCTTCTGACCTCCTTGTAGTCCTATGTTCATGGGGACCCACGGTCCAAGTGTTCCCCACTTCTGTGTTATGCGGAGGCGAGCATGGGCCGTTTCATGTGTAAACCCGATGTTTGGCCGAGTTCAGGCGTAGAGTATCATTTTGTGCTTTTCCCCAACGACCATTTCCATGTTCTTTTAGGGGTCTTATGAAACAGATCAGCTTCACTTTCACTCAGTGCACATGAAGCTCCCTCCCTATCCGTCCCGCCCAAGCTGCCACCAACGGTATTCAGTCGTTTTCATCTCAAAGGATCGCCCCTCAGTCTGATGAGGTCGTGCCTACTCCAATTGAAACGGAGAGCTTCGATCCGGGGTCGATCCTAATTCAAACATGCTCAAGTGCCGCGAGTGACCGAAAGATTTCGTACCCACACCCAACAGAACGGAGACGAGATGCATAAGCGGTAAAATGAAAACCACAACCATCTCTAGTCTAGCTTTTACCCCCCCAAAAAGAGTGAATATATTCAAGAAAATGACATCCAGACAAAGTCACCCGCCCCGCAGCCCGCATTTTCCGTAGCCTCTTTGTGCTGGTGGAGCGCTAGCGCCATGGAGGATCACAATCAACACGTGAACAATGTCATATACAGTTCCATGTCCATGATATCATGATAGAATCCATACAATGAAAAGAACAAGCAACTCTAGTCTAAATAGCCCCTACCCCCCACACTAAAAACAAGAGTGAATGTATTTAGCAAAATGGAATCCACAAAAAGTGTCACCCGCCTCGCAGTCCGACATTCTCGGTAGCCTCTTCGTGGCGGTGGAGCGCTAGCGCCATGGAGGATCACAATCAACAAGTGAACAATGCCATATATTTTTCAGTGTCCATGATACCATGGGAGATGGTGGGAGACGACCTACGCCAACCCCGGTATCACCTCCCGTACCCCACCGGAGTCTCTGGATTGAGCCATTGTTGTCCTCCCCCCCCCGGCACCTCTCTATTGCACGAGGTACCTTCAGTCCGCCACCGCTGCCACGTCGTACGAAGCGTAGCGTAATGCAAAACAAGGGGATGGTCCTCTCTCCTGTACGGTACGGACGGCGTGGACAAGGGGCGGGGGGGATGAGGAGTGCAATTTATTCTGGTATTTTCTGGTTAATTCACCCCCGTCTGATCTAAATTGTGCTTTCCCGTTGCAACCACCGGCGGCGTAAGGTCCGTTTAAAACGGCCCTAAGCCCACATGCGGTTGTTAACCTAGAGGTGCGCCAGCGTATGCCCACACCGCGGGTAGTACATGGTCAACGGGAGCGTGCGTGTACACGGAGAGAGTGTATGCAGCTGCCGGAAGAATACTAGACTACTGCTGTGCGGCTCAAACGGCGAAGGAAATTCTCGGCGTTGGTGTGCTCTGGTGCGTAATGCACCTTCAAAACAAGAGACGCACTGCTGCTGCACTGCTGCAGGTAACAAAACGTATCCCCCGCGGCACACGAAGGGTTGAGTGTGTGGCAAGGCAAAACTAAAAAAAAACAAGGGCGATTCATCCCTAGTCTAAGGAGCAGGCTGCTTGCTGCTGGGGTCTAAGCATATCTTCTTCTCTTCTGTAGCTGTACTGCCGTACCGCCGTACCTGCCGTCGTACCTGGTGTTTCGTGCCTGCTGAATAAGTAGCGGTGTTCAATACAGCGGCCGGTGCCGCTACTCTCTCTCTAACAAGCAAAATCCCGGGGGGACATGTCTGCAGTGTGGTCTGCTGCGTTGCGCGTGCTTTGCGGCCTGTCGGCGGTGGTTATGCATGGTTATGTATGTGCTGGGCTGTGTTGTTTCGCTGCTGTTTTGAGTTTGAAAGTGGGTTTCTGGTTGTTGTGTGGTTCTGGGGGCGTTTGAGTCGTGCAAGTTGTTATTTGCAAGTGCGTCGTGCAAATAGGGGTAGCCCCCAAATGAGGCGGATGACCGACCCCTAGAAGTTCTTGTTAGACATGAGTGTGGCGTATAGTTTACTTGTGGTCCTACCGCGGCTACGTTCCGGGAACATGATGTACGATGATCTGATGATGTATATCATCTCTTCTCCTGAAATTGTTCTTTGACCGCGCCCCGAGAATTACTTTGCCCCGAACAAGAGGTCGCCGGCAATTTCCTTGTACTCGTCCGAAGCCTTGAACTTTAGTAGTAGGTTGTCCGCTAGCATCATCGCGACCTCCTTTTCGGCCAGAGAGAAGATTTCCATGCGGCTCTCCTGTAGTTGAATGCGAGCAATAAACACGTAGGGCCGAGCAACCGAAAAATCCTTTACATCACAAAACAATTTCAGTTCCACGATTTAAATCTTTTACGGGTGCCTCCGATAGGCAAAGAATCGCTGAGAGCGCAGATGTCTCGCAGTATCTGTTCTTCATCTTGTCTCATCCATTGGATTCACATCCCTCCAGGCGCTTCTTTGCCACGTAGAAGTATCATCGTAAAGCAGGAGGTGGACGGGGCTAAGGGAGAAACTAAAAAATCAATCACTCTAGAAACGCAGCGTTGTGCAGTTGCAAAGCTGCCAGTAAAACAAACACCGGCTCTTGGCCGTGCCGAGAGAAGCGTACGCCGAGCGGTCCCCGAATCCCAGTATTTCCTTTTTCGTGCGGCTGTCGATGTTGACTTCGAAGTTCGAGTTGTCCTCGATATACTCGTCGACGATGACGATAAACTCCTCGTAGCTGTCGTTGCCACCTTGGTGGGCGGCATGGACCGAGCTCTTGAACTTCGACACATCAACCAGGAACTGGAACGACTTCGGGTTCAAGTCCGATGACAGAAGGGTGAGCAGGCAGAGAGAGAGAGAGAGGGATGTGCAGCAAAGGGCCGCATCTCCAAGTGGTTGGAATCACGAGTAGCGTATCAAGGAGTCACCTTCGGTGAATGGTACGAAATAGTTGAAGACATCGGTGGTTTCGGGTTTCAGTGCACCAAGACAAGATTTGAAACGAGTTCTCGCTCTCCTCAGGCATCGGCTCTTACGTAGGTACATCAGCGTACCTCGTGACACAATGCCTTGCGACAAAATTCCCCGAAAGCATGCTCCAGAGGAAGGAATCCCATGATGGTAGCCAGCCGGGTTTCGCGAAGGTGGCTCTTGCTTCCTATGCCGGACGTTTTCTTTTCCATGCTTGGTGGTTCAGCGGTGCAGGCCACGCGGAATTTGTTTCTGTCGCCGCCAACTCGCCCAAGAAATATCCACGAACGAAGAGTTCGCTGCTCGTTGCCGTCGTGATGGTAAAGAAACGCTCGCACCGGCTTGATGTTGCTGCCCAGCAAACGTTTCCGATCAGTACGCATGCAGCGTGCAGGTGGATGCTGCTTAGACTTTGGCTCCCCGCGGACATACATAAACGACTGCCTGCAATCCATCAAAGTATTCAATCCTTCGGCGGTGTCACGGACATTTGACTCCGGGGAACCACACCCTCCCCCTCTCCCACCCCGCCCCTCTGGCTCCAGAAAAGGACCGGAGATGTGTTACGGGCGGAGGTGGATGGTGTGTGGAACCCCTTGGCAAAGCAGGGAGGTGGGGAAGCTCTATAGGACCGTGGCTCTCTTGGCCTTTCGCTCCCTGCACTAGGGCCCGACCTGCGTTTGACTGCTCTACACTTCATATATTTGTGATATAATAGAGTCTATGTTCTTACGTAAGGGGCGTTTTTAACGGACCAGTTTCCCCCGCAATTTTCGGGGTCTCTCGGAATCGAAAACCGCCAATCGCGGAAGTCACAGCGAATACTTCGGGTAATCCCGACGTTTTTTCTCAGAGATTTCCCTGACAAATTTTTCGGGATTTCCCGATTTTTTTTTAAATAAAAAGATTGTCGCTTTCTCGATTCCGCGAAATTCCAGAAATCACGGGAAAAACTGGTCCTTCAAGAACAGCCATAATAATTTTGTTTCCCAGTTGACGGTGGAGAACCTCCGCCCTTTGGGGCGTGTGCTTTTATCGTGGGTGGGTGTTTCATTTTGTTTTTCCCTGTGGCTATTTGCGCCGCGCTTTGCGACCACACGCTTAAGTCAGGAACCAGACCTACTGCTGCCACAAACATCAACAACAACAACAACAACAACAACAACAACAACAACAACAACAACAACAACAACAACAACAACAACAACAACAACAACAATAGCAACAACAACAACAGGCAGGCATGCAATCTTTTTTTGAGTTGAGGCTCCACCCTGAATCAGCTCCAACGGGGGTGGTTCTGATCGCCTGCATCGCAAACAGGCGGATGTGTCCTTGAAACCAACGCCATGACGACAGTAAATGTGTCATGCATGATGTGTGCATGTGCGAGTATGTGTGTTGCATCAAAATGCGATTCATAGTGACGGGTTGCCCCCGTGGTCTTACCGCATTCATTCGAAGTAATTTGCCAGCACTAATTTTTCGAAAATACCGCCTCGTGAGAAAGACAAATTCAACATTTCTCCAACATCGAAGGCAAGGAGAATTTTTGCCGCATTTGCCAGTGCAACATATTTGGGGCGGAGAGTAAGGGGAGATGGCGGAAGGCGTATCAGGCACCATCGATGAACCTCGATCAAATGGTTGCCGTCGTCAATACAATGCCTTCCAGTATTCTCACGTTTATTAGACAACACCTCACATGGTCCACAATGACGGGAAGAAGGTGCATAACACAAGCACGACGTTGCATTACTTGTACGCTATCGGGGGCATTGGCACTACGGCGGTCACTGCGAAGAGACCTGGTACAGAGTGAGAAGCACCATTCGCGGGCGTAGGAGCAACAACCAAGAAGCATGGTTTATTCGCTAGCTGACAACCATCCACTGCCATGACGACTGGTTGTAGACATGGTATCGCCATACTAGCTACGTCGCAGTTGTCAGAGGTTCTCCGCGCCGATGCTATCCAACTCGAGCAACATTCAATATTTATTGTGTATCAATACAAAGCTCACATGACATAGTGAGCAATAACGCCCCCAGATGAAGAGCGTCTCGAGAGAGGTGACCCAAATCTTGAACTTTCGGCAAGCGAGCCCTGAAGAATGCGAACGCTGCGAGTAGGAGTATAGTTGTCACAGGTTCCACGATATATATCACTTTGATAGTGACCCTGAAAAGTATCACGGGGGTCAGTACTGCGAGGCGTCAATGAAGGTGCGTCTTTGCCGATCAATTTCATTCCCCAACTCCCTCGGGATTTTCCCGGCGCCTCGTGTGAAGAAAACTCTTTGTTCCGCTTATTTTCAGGTTGCGAGAACACGACATGTATTGCTTGGAGTATGGCAACGTTTTACAGGTGTTGTATATCTTCTCACACTGGAGCAATCTCGCGAATTTCGGAAAGCAAGCCCACACACCACACCAAGCTGGAATAAGATGCATTTTTGTCACTTGTTTCACACTACAGTGTCACTTGGTTCACACTACTACTTTGTGAAGGGATTCGACCA